AAAAGCCAGCATGCTGACGCTGAGCTAGCAAGCTGTTAAAGATGGCCGTACAGGCCCACCTCTGAGGCTCTCCTACAGAAATATGAGAATATATAAACATGAACATGTAAGGATATTCTCAGCAGCACTTCTGTAACTGAAAAGAAATAAAAGTTGGCCATAATCGTAGAATGAATGATCCCGGCAGTCTGGTAGCTGAGAACTGAGAGTTACAGGCTATCCCAGGGTACACAACAAGCTCTAAGCTAACCTAGGCTGTGTGGTGAGAACCTGTCTCAAAATATATATATTAAAGCATATATGCATACATGAGTGTGCATATATATATATATATATATATATATATATATCATCAAAGGCCCACCTGCCATCTCAAGTGTCATGCAAACAGAAGCTGTAATAATTAGGGCCACAGAGACAATTCAGGGATGTCCTTGAGCAGGCTATCTCAGGTCTATGTCCCCTTCCAAGAGGTCCCAGAAGCTCTAGAATTCTTGGCTAGAAGGGGTCTTAATAGTAACTCTGCCAAGCTCAGTTTTCACACAGCATCACGGCTGCTAGCACCTACTCTTGCCTTACTAAGTCCTCCTTAAACAATGCCATTGCTCCTCACAGCTCGGACAGGTTAAGTAACTTTCCCACAGTCACACAGGTCTGCCTGTTTTCAGTGTTCACATTAGACAGAGAAAGAGGTGGCACTGTATGGTGCCTGAGGCAGAGGAGACAACAAATTCAGCAAGCATGGAAAGGAAGACGATGGAGTGTTCAGGAGAATTTCTGTAAGGGATTTTCTGAGGAATTGCTGTTCTAGGCAAATCCTCATGTTCCCAATCAGGGCAAGTCTGGCTGTTACCTCCAGACCCATAGGGAAGCTGGCAGAAGAAAGTTTGGAAGAGGAAGTCTCTGAGTCTAGAAAATAAAACAAAAGCAAACAAAAAAAAGGGCCACAGCCAGGTGAGAAAACCCTAAGCCTCTGTCCCAGCCTGGTTCCCACAGCTGAGAATACGGTCTAGACAGGAAGTGATTAAGGCATGAGAGAAAATTTCCCCCAAAGGTCGGTCAGGCACAGGGCTGGCACAGGGCTGGAGGCAAGGCCTATGGCAGGCATACCAGAGCAAAGCGTGTGACCCCTGTCCCCAGCACCCTAGGGCAAGAGCCTCACCGCCCATAAAGTGTGGCCCATCTCCACACTCCAGTTGCCTGTGTCTACCACCGTGGGCCCTGGGGCCTTTCGCGTCTTACAGGACACGCACATTTCCCAGAGTTTAAAGATTTAGTCACAGAATTCTTTCAGCTCGGAAGAGGGTGACTTCTTCCAAGTGGTCCTAACCAAAGCCTTCTCCTGGGAACCCAGCCACAAGCTAGGACTGCAGACAACAGCTTGGTGCTTTAGTTAATGGTAAACCTGATGAGTCAGTGTGAAAGTGAGGGTGTGATGTCTTGGGCCTCATCGTATTCTTGGAACCTAGCAAAGGCCGGGTTGACTCCTCAGTGAGCAGGACTGTTGTCAGGATGTGCGTGTAAGAGGCTGTCATGAGTGCACGCCTTTAACGCCTTTAACTCGGGAGGGAGGCAGAGGCAGGCAGTTCTCTGAGTTTGTGGCCAGACTGATCTACAAAGCAAGTTCTGGGACACTCAGGGCTACACAGAGAAACCTTGTCTTGTAAAAATATAAACAACGAACGAACAAAAAGGCCACCACAAAATGCCAGCTTGACCTGGATGTGCAAGCTGCCAGTTTGTGACTTCTAGATGGGAGGGGAGAGCAGTCTGTGCTGTGGTACTGGAGCTGCTCCCAAGCATCAGCAGGCTCAGAGAAGAGATGTTGGGGTGGGGGTGCGTTCAAGGAATGCAGAACTCCGAACTGCTTACCGCTTTCCAGCTAATGACTCTACATAGGGGCACAGAAGTGACTAGGCTGTGACCCCTGCGGCTCAGGGACGCTCGACCTCTCCGAAGCTCCCACCGGTGACAGCTGCTTTCCGTTTACAATTTGAGGAACATGAGATGATATACCAAAGCCCTCCGATGTGGCTACTATCCTACTTCAAGAAGGGATGTACCTAATTTTCCTGTCCTCAAACCACCTCTTTCAGTCTTAAAGATGGAGTCTCTTTTAGTTCTCAGTCTCTGAAGATGCAGGAGGCAGGGATGTGTGTGAGAGAGTGTGGGGTGGGAGTGTGTGGGTGTGTTGGGGGGTGGTGAAATGCTACTATAGTTTTGTTTTCCTTCCTTTGTCTTTTACAAGCATACCAAAAGCACCAGGATCATGGAAAGCGTTACCCAGCCAGAGAGCCAAGTACTAATTCTGGCTCCATTCCCCACCAGGCTTGGGATTCTTGGACCCTGGCTAATGTCATGCAAGCCTCTCATTGTGCTTCTCCTCTCCTGGGGTGAGGACGCTACAGGGCTAATTGGGATCATACATGTAGCATGCATGAGCAGTGAGGAGCAGTAAGTGCCTGCTGTCTGTGCAGTTAATGGTGGTCGAGACAAGAAGGAGTATACCAGACATATGAGCATGTTCCAGGTGGCTGCTATCCCTAACTGGCTTCTTCTGGTTACGCTAAATATACAGTCACAATTCTGCAGTTCTGACCCTGCACACCTTACCTGCACTACACACATATGCACGAAACCCAGCCCCAAGAGACTTCTCGCTCTTAACACCTAGATCCCCTCTCCCATTGAAATTTCTCTCCCATGGGAGCAAGTTGGGGGTAGACAGGACAAATTCCCTAACACAGCGGTCCAGAAGTGATATCAGCAATGCCAGTGGTGAAAGCAGCTAAACTCCGTGCAGGCAGTAAGGGGAGACGGTTGTGGTAAAGGCTGCAGGGTGAGCACAGAGCCTGGGGTTGCAAGGAAGGTTAAGAGTTAAATCGAGTTGGGGGTGAGATTAAAAAGCTGGCCAGGTAAGAGGAAAGACAGGGCTCTGGGCCAGTACAGCAGGCCACTGGCTCCAGGAGCCCCTGAGAACACGTATCAGATGCCATTGTCCCTTCACATAGCCTTGATTCTAACGCAGCTGATTGTGATAGACTAAACTGTCAGCCTGGGTGGCTTCTAACAAGAAGCTTCATCCTAGGAGACACTCTGGGCTACAATATAGGCAAGGAGGGAACCAAAAAGACTGTAACTTGGTGGCTGGGGAGTTAACTCCCTCTACCATGGTAAAGCCACAAGCTGATCCTGTAAATGAGAGAAGCTTAGCAGCCTTTGAGATGCCTACAAGGTTGGAGGTAGCTGGCCAAGTCAAGTGACCGAGAACTCAAAGAGCCAAAGTCAAAGCTGAAGTCAGATGAACAGAGCTGAGCTTCAACCACGGGGTGGGCAGCATAGGAGCAGCGCACAGCCCATCTCTCTGGTCAGACTGTGTGGTCTCTCCATTGGCTTGTCCCATGGCAGCCCGGAGAATGAACCAACCTCAGCAGAGGTACATCAGCTTTTGTTGAGTTTCTGCCACTGCTTCATGAAACCTAAACGAAGGAAAGTCAACAGGCTTCTCCTCCCGGGACATGCACACGCACATACACACACACACACTCTCAGGAGTGTGCCCTCAGTTTTTCACTGTTCTATAATTTTTTCTCAGTAAAGCTTGCGTTCTGATTTCCATACTTTGACGAGTCTGCATCCATTGACCTTCTTTGGCCTAACACAGCTACTATCCCAGGTCAATCTTTGATGATTGACTGTTCCGGCATCTCATGCCCTTGGGTCATGCACAACAGGACTGTGAACGGCCCCGTCACACTGAAAAATCAGAAATCATCAACATGGGAGGAACAGGACTGCAGTGTCCCCAGGCAGCTGCCATAAAATGAGCCGTGCTCATCTGGAACATAGCAGCTCTGATCTGCTTGCTTACAACTAAACAAAAGCCAAGCCAGCTTCATGTGTTAGTTCTAGTCATACAGAGTGACCAGGACAAAGGGGCTGCAAAGGGCCAACCTCAGACCCTGCCCTTTACCGCAGACATGTACAAACCCATTACTCAGATGGAAAGACTGATGAGGAAGGCAGAAGTCACCAGAAGCCAGAAACAAAGCTGGAGCCAGATCTGTCTGAGCTTCCTGATCTTTCTGCAGATCCAAGCCACCGTTCATCCTGGCAGAGCCGGCTCTGCATTAGAGCCCAAGCCGCAGCAAGCACTCTGCCGTCACCCAGGACCTCCTGGTAGCACGGTCAGATCCCATGGCTCCAGAGTCTCTTACACTGTTTCCATCCCAGCTCTGAGCTGGGACCTGGCCAACCGTGTGGGTGAGGGAGGCTGTCCCAGCTAGAGATAGGCTAGATGCAGAAGATGATGACACAGGCCTTACCCCGACCCCTGCTGACTGGGCTAGGAGCGGGGGAGGGGAGCGTCGTCGTCCCCGCCCCCCAGTGGGGGCTGCCAGTAGCCTGAGCTCTCAGGAGGGGGTCTGGGGTTGGGCTTATACAGAAAGACCCCGAAGTTCCTCTACCAAGTCTCTTTGGCTTGTAACTTTAAACTTCTCGGGTACTTCTCTCAGCTGGGTTAAAGGTTCATCTTTCTCCTCCTTAGGGGAACTCAGGATAAACAATGAAATGCCTTTATGGCCTAGAGGTTTGTTTTGACCGTATCAATGACGGAATCTTAGAGACAGTGAGATTGCCACTTTAACTAGTGGGCAAGCAAAAGCTGGGTAACCACTTGGTAAGGCCTTTGGAAGGAGTCTCTGAGGTTGCAGAGAGAAAATGCGCCAGCCCGGCTGGGCACGCCTTACCTGGGAAGCTGTGTTCCTCCCCTCATACAGCAGCAGCTCCTCTGACAGCAGCAGAGTTCGGGCAGGGTTACAGAGATCTAGGGGCTGAAAACCAGTCACGCTGAGTGGGAGCGCAAAGGGCGGCTTGCCAAAGCCGGATCAGAGCGAGAAGACAAGACTGCCCGTCCTCCTCCTAACCCTGACCCCATGCGCCCCTCACACCCACAACGGAAACAGAAAGAGTGCTCCAGTCCTGCACAACCAGGCCTGACCGAAGGAGCTGCTCTCGCTACAGGAAGTTCAGCCACATGCTCAGCGCCTTCGCACACCAGTCCTGCCCGTGCCCGCCCCCACACCAGACTCCTAGGCCCTCCCAGCCATCCTCTGTCCCGCCTAAGCCACACAGGAAGGTCTCTGCCGTCGATCCCAGGAGGCATCTTGAGGGCCCAATGCCAAGAGATTTGGCCACTCGTGTCTCTTCAAGGCCAACTGGGTCCCTGCCCTGCTCAGGTCCAGGTCCCAAGCTGAGCAAACTGCCTCCTTCACCTCATCCGTTTCCCCAGCAACCAACTCCTACTCAAAGTCCTCATCCCGCCACCCTGCACAGCCCGGCTCAGAGAACATACCCAGACTCTGACTGACCACCCAGAAGCTTATCCCAAGCCCCACAAGTCCCCGACCTCAAGCAGGGGACTATGTACTCCAGCAGGGATGGAGCTTCAGAAGGAGGCTAGGGGAAACCTCTTAGGAAAACCGATGGAGAGCAAAGCAGGTATGCTCATCAAGCCAGGTTGGTGGGACGGGGTAGTTGGGGCGTCTGGTGGGGAGAGGGGCACCACAGTAAGAAAGGGGAGAGGCAGCTTCTGTGTGGACAGCTACTGGCTGCTCCTTTATCTTGGTAGGTGCTCACTCTCTAATTCTTTGTTTTGTAAGTAATGTAAGTGTGACGCCATTTTTAAATCTTGATTATTTCTTTCTTCTTTCTTTTTTTGAGACAGGGTCTCTCTGTGTAGTTCTGGCTCTCCTAGAATTCACTCTGCAGACCAGGCCGGCCTCCACTCAGGTCTCTGCCTGCCTCTGCCTCCCAAATGCTGGGACTAAAGATATCCTCCACCACTGCCCAACTTGAATATATCACAATTTAAAATTTTTCAATTTTTAGAATTCTAAAAACTAATTTAAACTGGGCATGGTGGCACATGCCTTTAATCCCAGTGCTCAGGAGGCAGAGACAAGTAGATACTTATGAATTCAAGTCCAGCCTGATCTACATAGTGAGGTCCAGAATAGCCAGGGCTATATAGAAAGCCTCTCAAAAAAAAAAAAAAACAAAAACTAAACCTAGTTTAATTTTTAAAAATTGTGCTCTATTTATTTATGTGTGTGCACACATACACATATATGTCTGTGTGGATGGAG